CTAACCAATTTTTAATCAAATAAAATCAATCCCCAATAACTCAAATTGTCCCCCCCCCCCAATTACAATAAAATTTAAAAGGGAAGAACGGATAAGTCATCTTACTAGCTTCTTCAAAAAATTTCTAAAAAAGAAATACCCGAAAGTCACGTGCTTTATGAAGCCAAACATAAATAGCAGGAATGAAAGCACGTCAAACTGCGCGGAAGAAAGATCCAAAAAGCAATCCAAAGTCTTGCTTAAGAAGCCAAAATTCACCACATAATCCTACAGCATAAAAAATGTGTTTTCCGGCACCCAAACAAAAGCAGTACAAACAACTTTCATAAAACTTTTTAATAATAAATGTAACGACATGAACAAATCAGTTCAAAGATATATTTGAGATTAGGTAAGAGGAATTTATAACAGAAATTACTATAACATATAAACCCCGTTTTTTGGCGACACAAACAGTTCAAAAACAATATTTCATTGTTGTGCGGCACGTTTTTTAAAAACCACAAAACTCAAATAAAAAATCTTCTAAAGGCAAAAATCAAAAAGGAAATTAAAAATTAAAAAAATTAAACTAATTTACCAAACAAATTTTTATCCTTAAGACAAGTTTCGATTTCTCGTCTGAATCTACTACAGTTTAATCTGAACAGCACTTGAACAGTTATTACCCTTATTGAACAGAGACTGGGACACAAAAAGACATATATGGCGTTCCAACTTGATTTACGGTTCTTAAAGAATATCAAGGAGTTTTTTCAGTTGCACGACTAACTGCCAATCAGCTTTGGATAAATCATCCCGGAAGTGTGCTTTACATACGTCAATTGACTCACGAGATATCTAAAGCAAAAACCTTTTGAAAATGTGAATTACCGTTAATGTACTATAATCACCCATTGCGAAGCAGACACCTAAAGTCCTACTAGACAAAATATATAAATAATAAATAATTCACCTAATGTTGGTAACTGTTGTAACGATGGAAAAATAAAGTTGTAAATTACCCGGCTAACAAGCGTGTCCTCATAACTAAAGTGTCTTCCATACAACTTGGGTGCCTCTCCAGTAGTGTTTTCTATCTTTATACATACCTCATCACCAGTTTTTGCAATTTCAATTTGCTCGTGATTCCGTTCAATACTGGCAACTGTACCAAGAGCAATACGCTAAACAAAAAGAAAAACATGTCTTACAAACTCCATATGCTGCCTGTTCTTTTTCACCTAAACATTTCATAAAACAAAAAAAAGAACTTTATGTAGATTTGCAAGTTAAAACATAACATTCAACCTACCAGAGAAACTATACATCAAACAAAAAAAAATATTAAATAGCTGAATTAACGTATTTTTAAAGCTTAAACAGTAACTGGCAAATGATTTCCAGCTGGAATATTGTGAAATCTACTCAAATAAAGTAAAACTTTAAGATTTTCTTACTTCTTCAAAGCCGAGACGGAACAAAACAAACTAAAAATTTCTTCAAAATGAGTTGTACGAGAAAAGAAAAATGACAAAAAAAGCAACAAACATCTTTCGAAGGCACGCAGATAGGAGTTCCCCTCCTTAGCTGACCTGCTTCCACCGATACACCAATAACAATCGGATTACGTGCATTAAAGACACATTGAGGTAATATTCTAAGCTTACATGGAAAGATCGCTAAATGTTCATTTTCCCTTCGACGTTTTAGCCTTAGCTCTTCCCTACAAAAGTAAACTGTGGTACATCTTAACTGTTCAAGGCATGCAGAATAAAGTAATTTAAACAGCCGATTACCTGTAATTTAGGAAGTTGTCCTCTAGATGATAAATAATATCAGCTGAAAAAATGCGTACCCCTTCGCTCGCTGCAAACTGCTCAACTTCTTTACTAACTGGAACATCAAATGCTAAAATGCACGAAAACTCTTCCTTATGTTCCAACATAGCTGCAGCTTTCTGTACATCCTTTTTATGAACAGGGCCAATATTGACATTGGAATACGGGATTTTTTGCGCCTAAAAAAAAACCTTCTGTAGAACTAAAATTCACTGAATGTCTAACAGCTAACAAAACCGACAAAAAAAAGAAATAATGACAATAACAATAAGGAGAGCCTAAAAATTCTACCCCGAAGTGCAGCAAAAAATTATCCAATTACCTTTAAAAAGCTTAATAGTGCTTCAAGTGAACCTAACGTGCTTGCTTGAACATAAACGCCCTCAGGTTTCTTTTTAATTGCCATAAGTGCCCGTGAAAGCTGCGCGTCGCAATCCTCCCTGAAATGCGGATTACGATAATTCTTCAGCGCGTTTCCTTCAAAAAAAATTTACAAATAAACCTTACTTGAGCACATCGACTTCATCCTCCTTGCTCGCAACAAACAAAGGTAGACCAGCAAGTGCTTTTTCTAATCTTTTTGCTAAGATTTTAACGCCCTGGGCACCCCGAATTGACTGGTAATGTTCATACGCGTTCTAAAAAAAAAAAAAAAAGAAGTCGAAAATGTTTCATATTTCCAACATTTAGAAGAATCATCCACTTGCCTTTAACCATAATAAAAGTCTGGCTTTACTTACCTTCACCCTAAGTTCTTTAAGAGGTTGTGGCATTAGTAGTTCTCTTATTTGTGTTACTATAGCGCCATCAGTACCTGTGAGAATAATTACATCACCAACTCTTAAAGTACCATTTACCAGAATTACATCAATTGTGGTGCCAAGACCAGGAAGAGCTTTCACCTAAAAACATATGAGTCTCAAGACAGATCGAACAGTAATAATAATAAAAAAAAAATAAATCACCAGTTAAAAGATAAAATCAGATAACAATTAAATAATATTCTAAAGAAAAATTGCAGAATTATAATAGTAAAAACACCTCCATCACAGTACAGTCGAGTTCTTCACAGAATGATAACTGTGAGGCCAACCTAGTCTGCGACTCATTAACAATATGTGCCATTAAGTTCCCTATACCATCGCCCATATACGCCGAAGTTGGCACCATGCTGATATATTCAGAACTATCTTTGTTTTCATTAGAAAGCGCTACATTTACACCCTAGAAGCGAATCAGTTCAACCCCCTCCTTAAATTTGTAAAAACAAGGTTAAATACAATACTACAGCTCATACCTGTTCAGCAAATTGAACGACAACTTTGTCCTTCAAATCTTTAAAATGAAGCTGCGTGTTTGTCGGTTGCGATTTTAAATGCTGATAAACGTCTTTACGCGGATTCGATTCATAATCAACGAGGCGGTCAATCTAAACTATAGAGTAGAAACAGAAATCCCACAGTAAATGAAAGAAATAAAAAATTCTAGAAAACATAGTTCCTTCCAAAAGATCTTGAAGGATTTTATCCTATTTGTATAATGCAGATGATTCTGTAATCGAAAACTAGAAAACCTTATTGAGCGCGATAACAAATGGTGTTCCTCTTTTCAGCAGCAGTTTCAATGACTCTAGCGTTTGAGGTTCAAGACCGTGCATTATATCAACAATCAAAATAGCGTAATCGCAAAGTGAAGAACCGCGTGAACGAAGATTCCTAGAATAAAACAAACCCTTATTCAAAAAAAAGAAATCCAAAAAAGTGGGAAATCTAACAAGTAAAAAAGTAATCTGGATAAAACATACGAGAAACTTTCATGACCCGGTGTATCAATTATCAAAAAGCCAGGAATTTTAATGTCGTCCACGTTGAACTATAATAAAAACAGAAAGTCAGCGTGAATAATTGGTATTAAAAAACTTACTCTAATTTAGTTATTTAATTTTTGGAAGGTATGCTATTATAACACTAATAAACGATAAAATAACGAGAAACCACGAAAACCAATAGCCACAACTAGGACCACTTGGTTCATTATAAGATGAAATCAGAAAAGCAACTAAGAAAGCAGAAAACCAAACATATTTTCAATACAAACGGCGATTTGAACAAATGATATTCGAAAGAAAATATTCAATTTCTACTTTAAAATTCATCTTACTTTCACAACTAACTACTGATAATTTAGAGTAATTAGTTAAGACACTCTGATTATGAACTTTCTTCATCGAATAATCCAAAAGTACTCAAAAACAAATTTATAACAATAAAATTTAAAAACTTACGTCTCTAACCATTTTAGTTCGCTCCTTTATAGCAAGATTAGGAACTTGAGTAGCACCAATCTGCTGGGTTATTCCACCAGCTTCACTGTCTTGAACATTGGTGCGTCTAATCTAAAATAGCGATATCTGTTGCTTGAAACAACTAAACGTCTAATTCAAAAACCGATAAAAGATATAACGAATAATTCCCGAAATACCCGTAAAAGAGACAGTAACACCTCTAGTTAATTCGACAATACTAAACTAAACAAATAATACTCAATGGAAAAGTGAAATTTACAGGTAACTGTCTCACCGTATCCAACATTTTTGTTTTTCCTGTATCAACGTGACCAAGTACACAAATAACAGGAGCACGTAGGTCTTCTACAGTTCTCTTGGCCTCAGCAACTTCTCTTCTCTTCTGAAATCAAAATAAAAGTCATTGAAAGGTGCAAATTACCTTGTCGAAAGCAAACTATAAACTTATGCAATGTGTTTAGCCATCTTCAGAGAGAGCTTATGTGAATTAAATTACCTTTAAACGAGCGCGGACGCGTTCCCTAATCTGTTCCTTTGTTTCTCGATTGTCTTCACTTGATTCTTCGTCGCTCTGCTCTTCCGAAGATGACTCTTCCTCAGAACTCTCCTCAGAAGAACTTTCTGCTTCTTCCTCCTTTAAAAGACACAACATCTACTTCAACACCAATCAAAACAAAAAACTGTTCAAACAATAAGTTTTGTGAAATAAGAAGGAACCTTCTCCGCGACAATTAGTGTTGGTTTCAACACATCACTATCCTTCTTTTTTTCAACTGGCACTTCTTCCTTAGTTTTATTGGCAACAAAAGGCTCTTTCGCCTTTTCAACCGGTTCCTCAGCATGGTCCTCCCAACTTTCTATTACTTCATTCTCTGCTTCATCTTCCCATGACACAGCAACCTCATCCACCTTATCCTTAGCCTCCGCCTCAACTTTTTGATTTTCATTTACCGTATCAGCAGTCTTTAGATCGGATATTTGAGCATTGTTCTCTTCACCAGCTTAAAAAAATATAAAGCACATCAAAATACGCCATGCCAGTTGGAATAAATAACGCTGTACAGTAAGGCCAAAGATGTCTATTATTTGGCATGTTCTAAAACCCAAGGAACTCCAACTTTTAATGTCCTGCTGCTGAGGTCCTTTCTTTGGCTTCCTCTTTCCATATATTGGTCGCTTAGCAGGAGCTGAGTCTCCACTTTCTTGTCGTAAAGCAGATGGTAAAAGGAAATCTGAAAGATATTTCTGACAAAACATATCAAAAAAACGCCCATTACACTACTTCCGTACAACTTCCCATTACCGTGCACTTACTTTCGTTCCTTAATAAAGCTTGTTGTCTGCGCAGTTTTTCGCGCTGTGCTGGAGTCAAGTATTTGCCCTCAGCTTTCAGTTTTTCGTCACGCTCCTTTTTCCTTTGCTTCTCAGCTTCCTTCTTCTCTCTCGCTATACGTGCCTATAAACAGAAACTGGAGAACTTCACGCAGAGAAATCAGTACGCTGTTTCTTAGACAACAAAACTTTACAAAACCGAAATCAAGCAATAAAAGAACTGTAAGCAGACTGAAAAGAAGCAAATATGACATTTGACTACTTTTGATGCAAATCCATTTCAAAGACAAGCCAAAAGTTTATAAAAGCCATAAGCCAAAACCTCTTCTTCTTTCGCCTTCTGAATAGCAGCTAATCTTTCTTCCTCCTCCTTTTGCTCTCTAAGAATCCTTTCTTCCTCTTCCTGCCTCTGTCGCAATAACTGCTTGATCATATCTACCTGAAATGGGCACCACCAAGGTAAAAATAAGTTTACAAAACTTCAAAATTAACAACAAAAAAAGAGTGTTAATTTTAATAACCTGTTTCTTTTTCTTGCTCTCCTTCTTTTCACCTTCCTTTGCCTTCTTTTCTTTCTCCTTTTCCTTCTTCTTTTTCTTCTTCTTTTCTGCAGCCGTAAGCTCGCCTTCTTCTTTCTCTACAGAAGCTTCTTTTGCTTCTGGACCGGGGCTCTTAAAGAAAATTCCTTCAATTCGACGTACCTTGCAAAAGGATTACATAATAAAGTTAACCGAAAAAAAAATCAAATGAATGAGCAATAATGACAAGAAAAAAATATAAAAATCCTGAAAAATTTGTACACTACAAACCGGTTCTTTGACTGCAGCCGCTTCCGAAGGAACACTTGACTCCTTAGCCCCTTCTGCTTCCGCTTTTTCCTCCGCAGCAGCTTTTTTCTTCTTCTTTTTATCTTTTTTCTTAGGCTGTACTTCCCCTTCAGCAGCTTCATTTTTCTCAATCGTTCCTTCTTTGACTTCTCCGACAGCTTCTAATAATGTGAAGTAATTTGCAAAAGCATTCATCCTGTAGAAACCAACAGCGTAGAAAAAGAAACAACTTACCAGTAGACGGTGGCTCTACAGCTGTAACAGAAGTCTGCTCAACAGCCGATTCCACCTTTTCAGAGCCTTTCTTTTTTCCTTTTCCAGCTGGTTTTTCGACTGGCTTTTCTAGATCAGCAAGAATAGCTTCCAAATCTTCGTCTTCTTTCTGAGCCTAAAAGCGTCATAATAGAGAACAGTAAATTTACTACCATCCCATGAAAAATAAGTTAAATGTAAAAAATCTGCTAAAACGGAGTAAATACACCGACAGCTCAGAAGTAAGGATAATTATTACTGCTGCTCTTTTCCTTAATAAAAGCTACCTTTTTACTTTTTTTCCCTTTCCCTTTTGTTGATTCTTTTGGCTTTGCAGTGGCTGCTTCTTTTGCTACTTTCTCACCACCAGGCTGCTTTTGCTTTCCAGTTTTCTTGGTTTTCTCTTCTACTACTTTTTTCTCCTCCACTTCAGAATCATTACTTGCTGCATCCTTTTCACTATCCTCGTCTGAACCGAGCTGAATGAAACAAAGATATTAGGCACAAAAAATTTAAGCAAATTTCTTATGGTCACAATACAGAAACCTGTAGAAATTTTCCAAAAAATTCTGCAACATAAAATTAAAGACAAGAATAATCCAATAAAAACTTTTAAATTTGAGAAGTTTTACACTTTGAAAAAAACATACAGCAGCAAGCATATTGAAAGCTGCCCTTCCCTTGTTTTTCTGAAACGCTATTGAGGAATCATCATCACTTTCTTCTTCGCTTTCAGACAGTAATTTCAACTGTGCCAGTTTCTTTTCGCTTTCCTCATCGTTCCTACGACTTTCCCGTTGAATACAATACAGAATATCACATCAGGAAACCTCTTTTAAAATTCAATTAAAAAAATCACTTTTAAAAGACTTTACCATTCACTTGTCTTCTTACTTCCCTTCTTCTTCTTTGACGCCATTTCCCAATCTGTTCTGCTCTAAAATATGAATTGTATGAACCACTGCTAGTAAAATTATCCTACTAAAAAGATGACTATGCGCCCATAAAACTCGTTCAGTTGGGAATACCACGAGTAGCTTGAGGGATTAACAACATGAAAACAACCTAAAGGCGATGGACTACCAGCTTACAGAATACCCTAAAAAAAATCCCTTTTACGCCAGACCTCCATTTCTGGTATATTTTTGGCAACTTCTCAACTACCAACATTAGGGATTCTGGAGGTTGAGACAAACATAATGAACTGAAAAAAATGTAATTCTTTTCCCTTCTTGAAGGGATCTGCATATCAACGGATGAACATCATTTTTGTACTCAACACTCTCATTTAATATTACTCATTGCTCACTGGTCATAAAAATTTTCAATATTTCAAAGTACAATTGTTGAACGAAAGCAGACGGCACTAGAAAGCATGGAAAAAAGTGTGAAGTAATAATGTTCAATAAATTTAAGGGAATGCCCAATATAAACCTATTACTTTCACTTTCTTTACTAGTAAAGGCAAGGCGATAAAGCGGAAATATAAACGCACTGTTCAGGATGTTTTAATCGGCACTACATCAAATCTAAATGATAATATTTTGAATTTTAAAATATTATTTGTCTAAGCTTGAACAAAAGATCCATCGACTGCAAATCACTCTTTAGAAATTACTCACTAAAGGTAGACTCCAGTTAAGAACTAAATGGACGTAGGGGTAATCTATAACAGCAAACAAACACACTAACTAAGTGAGCCATAAAGAACTGTATGCTGAAACGTCGCTCATAGTAGTCCATGGAACGTTGGTGCCAGACACTGCTCAAGTAACAACTAAACCCCAATGAAAAAACTTTCATTAAACTGGCATACTGAAGCATATAATTTACACGCAAAATAACTTAGCTTAATCTTACTATTTACCAGAACCTGCAAGCTCACTGTCGAGGCTTAAAGATCTCTTACTCTAAGCAGAAAAATTTACTCCATGTATTTTCTCGCCAAATTATAATCGCTATAGTTCTGCTTGCATTAGTTCATCAAATCTTTCTAGACTAAAATGTTGTATGAAAAAAACAACTTAATGGGCACATGTCATATCCATTTTGTTGTTTGCTTAATGAACTGCTGCCTTTTAACCTCACTGCCATTTGGAGAAATAAACAGAAATTTGCTCCCACCAAAAACAGAAATTACAGAAACAACTAAAATTCAGGTATAGGATGGCTGAAAAATCTGATCTGCAAGCAGAAAAAAAAAATCGAAATATTCTTTAGAGACTCAAAATAGAAGAATCTATTAATAAAATACTTTACAGTTCCACTAAATTATTAAATTAAAAAAATTATTACCCTAACTGTTTGAAAAATATGCACATACCAAGTTTTCGCATTCACATTTGCCAGATCTGGATACAAGTTCCGAAATCTAAAATAAAGCATTGGAAAAAAAAAACATATCGATTAAAGCAAAAATACGGGAATGAAAAAAAGAAAAATTAAATCCTAAAAAAGGACAAATTCAATTTTTTGCATCAAGCTTCATAATCCGTGACAGTCTGCTTGCCAGTGAACAATTTTTTTTTTTTTTTGTGTGTGTGTGTGTCTATGTTTAAAAGGAAAATTTTCAAGTTCATCAAGGCCAAAAAAAAAAACGAAAACAAAAACAAAAAAAACAACAACTTAAGTTCTTGACAAACAATAATATTGTTTTGCTCTTTGCTTCTGCCTCTTTTTTTTTTTTTTTTTTCTTGTGCCCTCAACTCAGTTAACATAAAATAATGGAATTAAGAAGCAACTGGAAGGCAGTTTAAGAAATTTACGATGTCCATCCAACAAAAGCAAAAAAAAGCAATCAAACTGATCAACTTGTGTGTCCTCGCTAAGCTCAAAATTTCAAGTAGCATAAAACCAAAACCAGGGGAACAAAAAAAAAAGAAAGAAAAGAAAAATGCTTCTTAAGTGACTCTGTTACTATTACAATAGCCCAAAAGCTTAACAAAAAACAGAAAATAATAAAGAAACTTTTTATCATACGTTTACCAATAAAACGAAGTTAACGAACGCTAACGCCAAACAATAACTGTATCAAAATCAATAAATGAGCTGAAGAAAATAATGACAAAAAAACAAACAACTGAACAAACGAACAATATCTATCCTTACACTAAATAAAGCACCCCAATTTCGGAATAGACAGACATCATTCAGCAGATATAAGCACAACTGAAAACTATTTAGCTGCCAACAACTATGCAACATAGCGTATCTAATAAATGCCAATAAAAATTTTCTTTACC